GTTCTGATATAAAAAATGCCACATTTTTTATAATTGGTATCATATGTCTTTGAAACTTTGTAAACTGTTTCAAAATACACTAAGCTTAAATCATGCCAAGTTTTATTAGAATTGGTCAAGTTTTAGACCCCTAATTGGCCCAAGACCACAATTAATGATCCCGCTTTTCGTTGTCCACGAATATAGTTCCTTTTAATTAGAGTGTATTTTTTCTTAATTTTTTTTCTTTCCCTTCCTCACTCTGAGTCACTCATTTCTTAGTTTTTTTTGGGTGGAAATAAAAGTAGAGAGGTGAAATAAACTTTTGGATGTTGTACATGTATTTTAACTGATTTTGATATGGAAAGAGTGATTAGGCCAGGTGCAAAAAGGTGATATTTACAGTTTTCGGAACATCTCTTGACTTGTCCATAGGCAGTCAGGGGACTTACTTAAATAAGTGATTTTCTAAATCACTGATTCAAGTAACATTATGTCCACAAAGGTTGGAAGTAAGAGTTGTCTTTCTTTAATAATCACCTATTTAAGTAGTACAAATTAATCACTAGACTAAGTGATTTAATTTTATTGTAGCTTTAAATATAGAGTACTAATGATCCAGGGAGTAATTATGTTACTAAAATTATCAGAACCAACATCTGTGTTGATAGGATGACCGGGTCATGTCAGGTGATGACCTTGTACTAAATCTAGGATAATGACATAATAAAATGCTTCGCTGGGGCGCAGCTTGATACGACCGCAGAGGTCGAACCCTGAACAGTTGGGGCAAGTATGGACACAACATTCAAGCTTGATACAGCTCTGAATTTGGATTGTTATTAAATATTTGACACAGCATAGGTTTCTGACACAGAAAGAATGTGGTCTAAGAACTTGAATTTTTTTAATTTACCTATTATGGTCCAATGTCCAAAATCAAAATACATGGTTAGATTCAGCATATCAAAGAACCCCATATATTCAATTTTTGTTAAAATCAAACAAAGTTTAATTTTGAACCCCAACTTGGACAAACTTGAAAACTGGGCCCATAATCAAAAATCTAAACACATGTTTAGATTCAGCATATCAAAGAACCCCAAGAATTCAATTTTTGCTAAAATCAAACTAAGTTTAATTTTGGACCCTTTGGACCTTAATGTAGACCAATTTAGAAAACGGGACTTAAAATTAAAAATCTAAATACACGGTTAGATTTCGAATATCAAAGAACCCCAATAATTCAATTTTTGATGAAATCAAACAAAGTTTAATTTTGGACCCTTTTGACCTCAATATGAAGCAATTTGATAGCGGGGCCCACAAATAAAAAATCTAAATTCATGGTTAGATTCAGCATATCAAAGAACCCCATATATTCAATTTTTGTTGAAATCAAAAAAAGTTTAATTTTGGACCCCAACTTGGACCAACTTGAAAACTGGGCCCATAATCAAAAATCTAAACACATGTTTAGATTCAGCATATCAAAGAACCCCAAGAATTCAATTTTTGTTAAAATCAAACTAAGTTTAATTTTGGACCCTTTGGACCTCAATGAAGACCAATTTAAAAAACGGGACCCAAATTAAAAATACGGTTAGATTTGGCATATCAAAGAACCCCAATAATTCAATTTTCGATGAAATCAAACAAAGTTTAATTTTGGACCCTTTTGACCTCAATATGAACCAATTTGATAGCGGGGCCTACAAATAAAAAATCAAAATACATGGTTAGATTCAGCATATCAAAGAACCTCATATATTCAATTTTTGTTGAAATCAAACAAAGTTTAATTTTGGACCCCAATTTGGACCAACTTGAAAACTGGGCCCATAATCAAAAATCTAAATACATGTTTAGATTCAGCATATCAAAGAACCCCATATATTCAATTTTTGTTGAAATCAAACAAAGTTTAAATACTGGACCCTATCTTGGACCAACTTGAAAACTGGGCCCATAATCAAAAATCTAAACACATGTTTAGATTCAGCAAATCAAAGAACCCCAAGAATTCAATTTTTGTCAAAATCAAACTAAGTTTAATTTTGGACCCTTTGGACCTCAATGTAGACCAATTTAAAAAACAGGACCCAAAATTAAAAACCTAAATACACGGTTAGATTTGGAACATCAAAGAACCCCAATAATTCAATTTTAGATGAAATCAAACAAAGTTTAATTTTGGACCCTTTTGACCTCAATATGAACCAATTAGATAACGGGGTCCACAAATAAAAAATCTAAATACATGGTTAGATTCAGCATATCAAAGAACCCCATATATTCAATTTTTGTTGAAATCAAACAAAGTTTAATTTTGGACCCCAATTTGGACCAACTTGAAAACTGGGCCAAAAATCAAAAATCTAAATACATGTTTAGATTCAGCATATCAAAGAACCTCATATATTCAATTTTTGCTAAAATCAAACAAAGTTTAATTTTGGACCCTTTGGACATTAATGTAGACCAATTTGAAAACTGGACCCAAAATTAAAAATCTAAATACACTGTTAGATTCGGCATAACAAATAAATAAATGTGATCAAAGATTTTACAAATCTAATGCGCCATACTGTGCAATTAAAGATTACTTCTTGAAATTTTTCAATATTTGAAATTTGAAAAAAAAATAATATTTGAAGAATAATTCTTTTTAATTTCTGAAATCTGAAATGAGAAAAAATTGGCCCCCCACAATTTCTTTTTATCCCCCCCCCCCCCCCCCTTTTTCCCCCAAAAAAATTCTTTCCCTCAAGATATGGTCATAATCTCAATTCAAATTTCCAATGGAGTTGGCAACCATAATTACCCATTTAAATTTACCATAGTGCTAACTTAATCTATTTTATAATAGAATTAATAAAAATATAGTGTCAAATCTTTCATATGGATTTTTTTGTAAAAAAAAAAGATGAAAACATTTGCAGATATTTTTACTGGTCTTCCTTTATAAATATGCATTTCTTTAAACATAATTTAAAAGCAGTGTAAGGGAAGTAACCAAAACGTTGTATTTGGATTACCTCCCTTACACTGTTTTAGATTATCTTTATTGTTCATTAACCATTACTTTATACATAATTTAAAAGCAGTGTAAGGGAGATAATTTCAATGATGTATTTGATTTATCTCCCTTACACTGCTTTAAATTATGTTTTGTACTAAAGTATTTGTCCATTAACCAGGACAACCTTGTTTTTCCCCCTTATTTGCCCCTAATTCCTAAACGGTTTGAGCCATAACCCCCCAAAGCAAATCCTAACCATCCCTTTGTGGTATGGAAACTTGTAGTATAATTTCAGAGAGATCCATACACCGTTCCACAGTTATTGTCTGGAAACTAGAAAATGCTCATTTTTGGCCCCTTTTTGGCCCCTAATTCCTTAACTGTTGGTACCATAACCCAAAATCAATCCCAACCTTCCTTTTGTGGTATTTAACCTTATGGTCAAATTTCAAAAAGATCCATTCACTTAAACTAAAGTTAGAGTGCGAAAACCAATATGTATTCGGACGACGACGCCGGACGACGACGACGCCAGACGACGACGACGCCAACGTCATACCAATATACGACCACAAAATTTTTTTGCGGTCGTATAAAAATCACTTGTTTATGTATCATACCTCAATTTCCTTGCAAAAAAATCACTGCTTTAAGTATCATTATTTTAATAATCCCCACTAATTTCAACACCCCCCGAACAGTGAAATTTTGATCGCGAACAGTATATTTTTATTACATAATCTATAAGATGAAACCTCGAATTTTACAGGAAAAATACTCCCACTGCTGGGAAAAATCTGTTAAGAAAGTATCAGTTCATTATGTAAAGCCATTTTTATAGCATTTTTTCAACTAAAATAGAATTTTCAGCTAAATGATTGCATCAAAGGCATAAACCTTTAGCTTGCTGCTTAAAAGAAGCAAAAAGTTCATTTTTTTTCAATTTTACTAATGAAAAGATATTATCTAAACCTATGTTTTTAAAATTTTGGTAAAACTACAAAATCACAATTTGTGACAAAACTTCGAATTTGCTACTTAAATAAGTGATTTAAAAATCACTTATTTCAATAAGTCCCCTGACTGATAGGGGTATGGATGTGTATTGGCTAAATTTGTAAGAGTGATTGGTTCAATCTTTCTGAATTTTGGATATATTTTTGGACTAGTTCTATACATTACACACACATAAGATTTGACAAAAATGCATGGTGCAATTTTTTTAATGAAACAAAATGTTATAAAGAACTAATAGGGGAATTTAATTGTGGCCTGTGGCCAAATTTCGAGTGGCTGCCATCTTGTTCGATATGTAACACCCTTTGTACGACTGCAGTGTTCTTCAAAAGGATATGTCTCAGTTTAATAATTTAACATTCTTTATGATCTTTGATTTTATACATTTGTATTAACAATTATTAAATTACAATGTACTTTGAAATACTCAAATAACTACTAGCTTCGTATATCAGAGATACGAAACTAAGTTTATTGTTGGGTGATAGCTTTACACGGGAGGCTTAGTTATTTATTAAAATCAATAGAGACGAGTCCCGTTAGTATAGACTGTCCCTGCATATACCTGTAACCGGAGAGCATGATTCTACTTGCAAAATCGCATGTCTCCACCGGGACTCGAACCCGGGACCTCTGTGTTAAAAGGCAGCGTGCTAACCGACTGAGCTAAAGAAGTACTTCCTTAGCTCAACCGCTTACGGCTGGCTAAGTATCTACTAAATTTCCAAGGGAAGCAATCCCGTCACATACCAAACATAGTTACGCCGCTGCTGCCGGATAGGTAATACCTATGTTGCAGGCGAGACAAAAACCAGTTCTAATCCAAACCCCTAAATTAAAAATTTTGGGTCTCAATGCTGATACACAATGTTCATCATCTAAACGTTGGCCATCCGCAGAACTGAATTTTTCAGCAACGTAACCTGATCAGTTTACGGTAGGGTTAATTTGGTCAATGTTTACAACGACTCATTAAACTCACAGCCTCAACTGCTTGATGCAGGATATTGGAAAACTTGCTAAACATCCTTTTCTTCATCTGTGATTCATAGAAGCGTTCATAATTGTCTAGACATCAATAAGAAGTGTTATAAATATCAACATAATGCGTAGTGAAAACAGGAAGTGAAATGATAACCGGAAATTCCGGATCAAAAGCGGGCCTCTCATGAACTTATTTGCGGAAATAAGACCAGCAAAGCAAATTCAACAATTATTGGCAGCCGCATTATGGAATAACAGCCCCATTGAGGCAAATAGGCAAGTGCCTCACCAGATTTTGACTAAGAAGAATAATAAAAGAGAAGGATATAGAAAGATTGAATCACAGGAACTGACTCCGAACTTGTTTCTATCAATTTTTCAAATCATTCAGTTTGCAAAATTTTCTAATCATAGTTTTTTTTTCTTGAAACTAGAAAAATCTGGAAATCCAGAATCTCCCACAGTGTTTGAGAACAAAGATTTGTCTGGAAATTCCAGTGTCTTCCATAGGGGATGGCAGACTATATCTGGACGAACCCGTTGATTTATTGATTGAGTTAGTGTTTGCTTTACGACGCATCAGCGCAAAACGGTTACATCGCAATGAGAGCTAATGGGAGGTCGATTATCAATGTATATTATATATAGTCGACCTTCCCATTGATAGGAACAAGTGCCTGTGGATTTAATATACAACGTGTATTCGACAATAGAGCCTCCAGATAACTTTTGTCGGACTTCCGGCTCTACCCTTTCAACATGCCGTGTTTCCTCAGTATTAAATCAGTAAGGCTGAGTAAAAGAGAAGTTTGGTGAACAAGTTTTTCCAAGAGTCATTGGTTGCAAGGTTCAAGTGCAAAAGTTAGTTGGCGTGAATTTTGATACGATATTCTAGAGCTTGGGTTTCCTATGAGTAAAATGATCCAAATGGATGGGCTGGGTATAGAAATGTGGTCGTAAAGGGAGACTTACAAATTTTTTGAACGTTTAAAAAATCATTTCAAGAATTCTTAGAGGATATTGGCAATATTTCTTTCCAAATCCAACATTCGTCATTTTTTTTAAAGGCAGTCTAAATATTTCACCTAAATTTCGTTAGAACCATTTAGCCGGTAAACCTACTTACTGGTGAACTTATACCTTGTAGGTTGACTGGGATATAGAAATAAGACTGCAAGGTAATTAAATGTTTTAAACGAATTTGCAAAGATTTAAACAGACTCGCCAACATGACTATTAATATATATTAAGAACTCGCTGAAGTAATCATCCTTTATTTACTGCAAACTGCCAAGTCAAAGGGCAATAACTGAAATTTGACACAATAAATAAATGTAAGTTTCAGTTATTGCCCTTTGACTTGGCAGTTTGCAGAAAATAAAGGTTGATTACCTCATCAAGTTCTTATGTAGTTTTGTTGGATAAGCAAAAACGTGTCCTCCAGTCTGATTAAAATTCAGATCTATAGCAACAACTATAACAAATCGCGTGCTCGTACATATATAAGCTCATATGAGGAAAACGAAATCAGAGGTCTATATTTTTAGTAGATTGACTTGTCCTCTATTTACAAAGATTTGTTGGTTTACAATTTCAGTTTTGCAAAAGCTGCAGAAGTACCATTACCAAGAACTACTATAATATAGAAAATCTTGCAAGTTTGAGGCAGCAAGAGTGTGAAAATCCCTTTCAAACGAGATTAGATTCATTACCTCGTTTAGTTAGTTAATAGTTATATAAATAGAATTGTAATCATGTGAAATACTTGCAAATTTCAACCAGTGCTGCCTCATAGCCAATTTGTTTCTTGCTTCCTACTAATTTTATTCTATTTGAAATTTATTTCAATCTGTTCTGCTCTGATTTTGGCTGAGTTTTAATTTTGCTTGCTGAAATATTAGCTATAATTGACATTTTTCTATTTACAGTGCTGCTTTTGGTGGCTTGATATATATTCTATTTGTGCTTTTGTCTTTGCTATTCATATGTGTTCTTTTGTTCATGTATTTTCCCAATTATACTGCTTTTGTGGTTTTGTTTGTATGCTGTTAATTTGCGTGTATATATGCTGATGTTTTATAAAGTCGACTATAAGATCTCATCAGACCCCAATTTGCTTTTTGTGTTATGCATAAGTATGTGCCTACTTCAAACAATATTTACTTTCTTACTAAAAACGGATACAAGTTTTCTACTGGAAAGTTTACAAAACAATCCTTAAATTACTAGCTTCAACCTGCTGAAGAGAAACTACTAACTAAGGACCTAAGCACTAATTGTTAGCTTTGATTTGCACTATAGATGAGGATCTGGATCTGGGGGTTTTCATATCTGTATTCTTTTAACTCTCTGGCCATTTTTCTCTATTCTTTGTTTTTCTCCATTATTCTAAATTCATTATATTTTAGCACCCCATTTTTTCTATTCTTTACAATTTTGATCCATTTTACTCTATTCTTCATTATATTGGTCCATTCTACTCTATTCGGTTTTTTTTTCCGTTAATTTTTGCAGAGACATATATATACATCTATATAGATAGATACGTCTAGACAAGTGACAACTCTACGACAGATCCATCCATTGGATCACTAGTGCAGGTGATACACGGCTGAAAACACATATTATAATCATAATTACTCTAAATATCAGCACAACAATGTTAAATCTTCAAATTTGCGAAAGCAAATTTTTTTTCTTCCCTCGCCGGGATTCGAACTTATGCTCTATATAGATAGATATATATCTGGTTTCTTAAATGCCTATCCTGAACCTCGTTACATTTAATCACTGATTTGCACTGCTGTCAAACTTTCAATTTTAGACGTGAAAATACCACATTCTGTATCTCAAAGTATCAAGCCGAGTCAATCCTGCTTTTCAGTGGAGTGTTTGTAACTTAACTTTAAGGTATATGAAGTGCAATATATGCACTTTTTTGTCCTCATTTGACATACACTTCTTGTTGTTTTGTTCCCTTATTATCTCCCAACTGCATCTTAAAGTGTAATTAAAATGAAATCCTGCTAAATCCACCGGAACTTGTCTTCAGGTCAGATATATAGCCCGTTATCATGGACTCTATGTGCATTTCTAAAAAAAAATATATTCCTCTACTTTTGGATACCCCCACTTTTGAATAGTACAAACAATCATAAAGGGTTTCGCGGAACCCTGTGTCTACTCCTGCGATTGTTGCTGTCAGTGTAAAGGTGTAATATTTACGGTAAAAATTTAATCCATTTATTTTTAAAAAATGGGTTTGAACCGACCTCCAAACGATCCATGATTCTGTAATGAGGAGTACCCAAATTGCATCCATGCTCAGTAAATTCACATCCGTAAAAATCGAATAACTAATGTTTTGTTTTATTTCTCCAAATATTTAGAACAATTTGACAATAGTCCATGCGTACTATTCATTTTTTAAGAAATGGGTGTCTAACATATTTTCACATTATTTTAATTGCTCATTTTTAAAAGTTGACTTTTTGTGGACGTCGCATGGCGACGTTTCCTTAGATATTACTTTTTCCAGTGAATACTTCATATGTTAATATGTTAAACTGTCAACGTTTTGTGTGTATTTAAATATGTTGAAAGACGTGCTTAATGTCAAAACATAAAAATATAAGTTGTTTAGTGTCTGAGAAAACTTGTCAGATTTCCGCTGCTATATTTTGCAAAATGGGTGCAATTCGGGTACTCAGTGCAAATTGGGTACTGTAATGTTAATTGCAAAAAAAAATCCAAACAAACAAACAAACAAAGTCCATCTATCAGTAGTAAACTATACTGAAAAATGAAAGAATTTGAATTTTTGCTTCAGACATTTTCTCTAAATCATACAAATTCTTCTACCAAATTTCATCAAGTTCCAAAAAAATTGACAAATTATTGATGTCTAAATAAACTTTAACCACAGACTGAACCTAAATGTTGACGCCGACGCCGACGACGACGACGTAATGTAGGATCGATATGTCTCGCTTCCGTGACATAAATGTCGCAGGCTCGACAAAAATGCAAAAATGAAACCGTTTAGAAACAGCGAAAGATTGCATTCATTATTTTTATCCTCAAGTATAATTATATATATTGCAAAAAATTAAAATGGCCTAGGTCACTGAACCCCGTCCAACAATTGACAGTAGACTAATACAGTGTGACAATACATGTCTTAGAATATTTGTAATTACGCACATTTCACGAAGAAATTTATTGATAATTGAACATACATTTTTTTTCAAAGATTAAAATGAAATATTCATCCGTGACGGAATATAATACCGTATTCAAGAAAAGCTATAATTATAACAGGAAGAAGGCAAGTATTCACTGTGGCTTTCCATACTACAGTCATTTTACATCTACCAAACGAATTGTCAAATTACCTCCTACAGCAAGTGTGTATTTATTCACTGTGGCTCTCCATAGTAGTGTACATTCTACTAAAACAAACTGACGAATATAACCTCTTCCAACAACTAGGTATTCGCTGTGGTTTTTCATACTAATCGTACATTCTACCAAAACAAATTGACGATTATAACCTCATCCAATAACTGGGTATTTGCTGTGGTTTTTCATACTAAACATACATTCTACCAAAACAAATTGACGAACATAACCTCCTCCAAAAACTGGGTATTCACTGTGGCTCTCCTTACAAATGTACATTCTACCAAAACAAATTGACGAATATAACCTCATCCAACAACTGGGTATTCACTGTGGCTCTCCATACTAGTGTACATTCTACCAAAACAATTTGACGAATATAACCTCCTCCAACAACTGGGTATTCACTGTGGCTCTATTACGAATGCACATTCTACCAAAACGAATTGTCGAAAATGTAACCTCCTCCAAAAAAAAATAATTAAAAATTGAAACATACCTTTTGTCATGTCAAGGAATATATGATGTATTTTTCATTTTAAAAGAGAAATGTGCGCAAAAGAGCAACAAATGAAATGCAAGTAATGATAAACACCAGTGCATGTCGGTAAGATTGTGAGTTTCTTTTTTTCTCCATATAAATTATGAAATAAGAGCATTCAAGTATGAAAAGGAAGTTTTCCAAATAAAAGTATATGCAACAGCCACAGCCTCCCGTACGATGTACGACGTTGTAAGTAAAACAAAAGG